ATCCAGAGCAGGCTGTGGAGGACCATGTCCAGGCGGGTCGGCTGTCCTTCTGTGCGGGCTTGGTCTCCAAGGGTTGTGCCGAGGTCGTTGCGGTTGTGTTGGTGAATGTTGAGTGCTGGGCAGGATGGCAGGAGCAGAGCTGGGTAAGGGGGGTGCTGTGCCCGGTGCCGTCGCTACCTGGCTGAGAAGCAGAGATGCTCTGTCCCAGGGACGTCATCTGTCAGCCCCAGCCGTTGCATGAGAGCAAGGCTGCTCTTTGGTCTTCATCTCCAAACTCCTGAGGATGGAGAGCTCCTCTCCTCCCCTCCCTGGAGCGCGAGGCCGTCCCTGAGATGGCTCCAGAAGGCAGCTGGCCTGGGAGCAGGACCCTGCCTGCGAGCACGGGCAGAGGGATCCAGTCCGATGGGAGCTGGAAACGTGGCAGAAAGCCGTGGAAGGGAACGGGTGGAGCTGGCCCTGCCCCGGCAGCCTGCAGCAGGAGAGCTCAGCGTAAATACGTGTCACTTCTCCACACCTTGCAACGGGAGGAGTTTTCTGATTCCTCGTCAAGTGCTTTGGCCTAATTAGTCAGCCACCGACTGGTTGCTCTGAGACCAAAGTCCATCCAACCCCGTGTCCGGCGCAGGGCTGGCTGGTGGCACCTGCTTAGGGGAGCAGCCTGGCGCAGACCCAGCAGATCTCTTCCCTGCTGTCCCCCTCCGTGTCCCCATGGCCTGTAACAGGCTTGGCCGGTCCCTGGGTGTGTTTTCTGCCTCCTGCGATTTGCTGGTGCTTAGCTTAATCAGATGTCCACAGCGGGGTGCGAAGAAGCTTCGTGTCCCACGCGAGACACCTGCGAAGTCACTGTCCCTTCCCACCCCTTGTGTTCCTGAGCCCCCAGGAGTCTGTCCCCCATTTCTGCAGGGACCTTGGTCCCCTGTGGGGACCATGAGCCAGCAGTGTGCCCTGGCTGCCAAGAAAGCCGATGGAATCCTGGGGTGCATCAAGAAGAGTGTGGCCAGCAGGACGAGGGAGGTTCTCCTTCCCCTCTACACTGCCCTGGTGAGGCCCCATCTGCAGTGCTGTGTCCAGTTC